CCCAGTCTTCACTCTCTGTCTTCCTCCAACACAGGAGCAGACACCGGATGGGAGTGGAAGCGTCTGTGACGTGGTGGGGAGCTCCTTCCACAACTCTGGGGTGGGTCCCACTCACATTTCTAAGGGTGTTCAGTGGTGTGTGTTTGCCTTTCCTTTGAAGGGCACCAAATGTGATAATTACATACTTATTAGCCTTGTAAAACAACAAATCTGGAATCTACACTCTGGAACCAATGGATTTCCTGCTGAAATGAGTTCAAGAGGTGCCCTGGCCAGCATTCCTGGGAAGAGCCCAAGCTCTGTACAAAAGGCCCCGCCGATTACCCCCTGGCCCTCTGACCCTCCTCACAGACTACCCCACTGCTCGCCAGGCACAGCTCTTCTGCCCCCCTACTCAACTCTCACCTCACAGCTCCCAGCCAACAAACGTGCTTGTTGTTATTTTCACGTTTTCTTAATGTCTGCCCTCTGAGTGTGGGTCCTGGGATCCCCCTTAGAGTAGGGGACATCCAGGCTCTGGCCTCCTCCTCCATATCTCCCACTAGTGCATCCAGGGCTCAAAGCCGGGCTTGGCACACACTGTGGACAGAAGTCCATGGAGCCACCCTGCCCTCCCCATGGGGTTTCTCTTGGTTCCTGTGGACTCTTCCACCTTAGTCTCTCTTCCTCCCATCCCAACTGAAACTCTCTTCCTGCCCTGGCCACAGTGATATTCAATAAATTCAAGTTCCCCAAACTTGGCTTCTTCCTTCTCTCTTCTGGGCTGTTCTCTCTGGAATGCCCTCTCTCCCTGTCCCTCCACAAACCTGCCGCTGGTTAACCCCGACTCAACTTTCAGGATCCAACCTAGATCCATTCCATGACCAGCCATCCCAGCCCAAGGCCTGCACAGGTCCCGCCTCAGCTCCCGCGGTCCTCTGTGCTCTCCTGCCTCAGCACAACACACCCTGTGATGTAAGTACCTGTTGTTCTCTGTCTCTCGTGCTAGTCTGGAAAAGCCCTCAGAGTAAGTGGTCTGTGTCTCTGACTCTGTCCTCACTGTGCAGCCCTGCTGGCTGGCACATGGCAGGCATTCAATAGATGCTTGATGAATAAACAAATACACATGATTAATTGATCAAAGTGTTAAAACTATGAAGTCTAGACCTGCCCTCTTCTGGTTCACACCAAGAATGAGTTCATCAAAAATTCCCCCACCAAATGATTTCTCCTGGTCCTTGCTGGCACTTGCACAGAACCCATTTACCTTCACACAAAGGCAGTAAGGCCGACACCAGGGCAAACCAGGCCCTCAGGACACTGCCACATCCCAGACATAGCTCTGCCTCTCTGGCCCCTGCCCCTGTTCCAACCCAACCCCAGGGAGGTGGGCAGAGAGAATGAGCGGAGAAATATAGGGTCAGGGTGGAGTCAGGCTCAAGAAACATCTGTATAAACACTGTCTTGTTCATTTCAATAAAACTGAACTACAGAATCATTCCTCTCAATGTTCCAGGGGAGAAATTGAGGAACAGACAGGTTAAGTGGCTCCCTCAACGAGACATCAAATCCACGGAAGAGAAAAAACAGCTCCCTAACATCCTAGAAATTTCACCCCAAAGCACAGACTTCAGCCTGGATTGTCAGAATCATAGCCAGGGAAGCTGGGTATCCATAGCACAACGGATTTTTCCCCCTCTTCTTTCTTTCTTTTAAATATCATGGGTGAGGAGGAAACACCGGATCTGAAGGTTTATTTACCATTCCTTAGCCTGACCTTCCAGGAAGAATGTCACTAATGAGAAACAATCTACTTGGGCTCCCAAACCCAGAATTTTCATAGGGATCAATTTAGGATTTCAGAGTCTAAACAGGTCAAGAGTAATACTGACTGTCTTCCCTTCGAAGAAAAAAAAAGTGAGTGAGTTTTTCCTGTCTGGGAGGAAGTTTTGTAAATGTCAAACAAATGTCAGATCTGAGGTTACATCTTTCCCGTTGTTCTGACCCCTTTGGGATGTCCACTGGGAGCAACGCAGAGCATTTACCTCCATGTGGTACAGGCTGAGGGAAGTCAAAAATGAAAGGAAAGGGGTGGTTGGTTACTTATGTTTCAAGAACTGACCTTACTGGGCGGGCTGAGGCTGGAAGCCAGGAACTCCACCCTCGAGATCAGGTTCCGTGCTAATTCACAGCTGAATGAAGATTCTGTCATTGTGGAGGAGACATTTCAACCCCAGCAAAGTGTACGCTCCATGAAGGCAGGGGTCACATCTGTCGTGCTTTCTGCTGTATCCCAGCACCAGCAAATGCCTGTCACATAGTAGGTCCTCCTCTTAAATGAATGAATTAAACAATTAGCCAGTGCAAAAGTTGCATCGAAACAGCTAATAAATATTATTTCCATTTTAAAAGTAGTTTTTCTTAGCAGGTGGAGAGATTTTTTTATTTTAATTTTTTTCATGATAGGACCTAGAATTATCAGGATCATCCTGTCAGCTCATCTCACTTAGTCTATGGACAATACATCAGTGACTCGTGAAATGCTATTGCGATTCAACTCGTTATTAAACAGCATGAATGGCGAACTCACAATTCTCTTAAAACTCTGCCCCACATCTGGCTGCGTCGGTGGGTTGTAAAACCTCTCAGGTGTTAGATGCTCTGTTTCATCTGGCCTCAACTTAGCAGAAACCACCTTCCACTTACTGTCCCCGCCGCCGCAGCTGGGTGCGGTGAATCTCAAATAAATTGCCACTTGGTGATCAGGAAGGCAGCAGAGCAGACCACTCTGTCCTCGCCTCAGTTCAACTGGCAACACCAGCTCAGCATGGAAATTGGTTCTGTTCAGAGGGTGGGCCAATGGCAGGAGGAACTCCTGGGCTTGGGAAGGGGTGTGGGTGCCTAGGTCTCTCTGCTCAGCCTCAGCCTCTGGCCCACTCAGTCTGGAGTCAGGAACCTTGCACCAATTCAGTGATGTAACCCAGACATTTGGGCTGCTGTTTCTGGATATCGAAATGATAATTCTCTCTTAAATTAACAATGTTCATCACATCCATTAAAACATAAGTGCTTCTCAAATATCCTTTGTCCATGTGGGGAACCATTTTTATGTGAGGAAACTGAAACTCAGAAAGGTTATCACCTGAGGCAAAACCCCAGGCTGTCTTGTCTAAACGGTTGGTGACGTTCTTCCTGTGTCATACTGGCATCTTCCACAGTAAGTGGCTTGATTACTTTGTTGAATAGAAGTGTCCTGAATTGACACTAACATCCTCCTAAAAGGTCAATCATATCCATAGCCCTATCCCAATACCTATTGAAAAACCTTAGTCCTGGGCAAAAGTGATCAACGCAAGTTGCCCGGAGCTGGGATCCACTGGATCCTAGAGAATGGATCCCTCTAGCGAGGCCAGAGAGGAAGCTTAACTCTGAGCTGAGCCTCCCTCTGGGCTGGAAATACCAGCCCCAGGTGCTCCATCTCGCTGCCCCGTCTGCAGTCTGTGATTAGGGGCCCTAATGGCCATAATGCCTCCAATGTGGTGTTTAAACCAATAAGGCTTCAGAGAAGTGACGGTATGTTTAATAATGGCTTAATGACTACTTGTGAGATGCAAGGCTTCTGGTTCCTGTTTGGCCTTGATTTACAGCCCAACTCGGGCTGAGGACAGCCAAGAAACCCCTTCTAAGCCCCCAGCGGAAGAGGGAGGTGTTCGCACCAGGCTTCTTGGATTCCTTTAAAAATTGAGAATTCAAGTAAAGTATGTTTGACTGCCCACATTCTCACTAGTCTCTGGAAGCATTGAAAATAAAAACAGCAAAACCCAGACGCAGGGACTCCTCAATCCACAGAAGAGGGCCTAGGGCCCTCGGGTAGTTCTTCGCAAACCTTAGGTAAGGTGGGGGTTGTTTCCCTTTTCAGAAATTCTAAGCTACTGCACTAGTCCTATGCTTCCTTTAGGCTGGGGAGACCTAACCCATAGGAGATGCAGTCCTACCCTTACCTCCCTGCAAAATGGCAGGCCTGGGGCCAGAGCTCTGAGGTCTGAGCTGAAGACAGCCTCTCTCCACTGGGTCCCCAGGCACTTCCCTGTCATTTGGCCACTGAAAGGCATTCGCTCCAGGCCTGCTGTTCAAATGCACAGCCCTCTAGTATCCTCCACCTGCTCCCAAGGCAGCCTCTGCTGGACTCTGTTCAGACCTGAGCTGCCCTGTCTGCTCCCACCCTGCCTCTGCTTCTGCAACCCACCAGGAATGTATAGAAAGGCTCTGCGGATTGACGTGGTCCAGCCTCCACAGTCAGATGAGGACACTGGTTGCTGGTTCCAGGACCCACAACTAATTAACGATAGGCCCAAGCTCCCCAGCCCCCATTTCCAAATCCCAGCTATCTCCACACAATACTCCCAGTGACTCCTCTCCCTGTGAGAGACAAGAGATCTTTAAGGGAGGTGTTTTTGCTGGATACAACGTTTCTCCCAGCAAACTAACTCCCTAACTCCAGCTAACTCCCAGCAAAGAATTAGGTGATCCAGGCCCGCCCCGACCTGCCCCCAGACTTATCCCAGGCTGATGTCCGGAGGCCAGGCCCAAAGCGCTTATTGGGGATGGAGGAGGCGGCTGCACCCGCAACTCTCTCACCCCTCCAGGGGCCAGAGCCTCTAGGGTGGATATCAGGACCAAGGATGCTGCTCTGAGCAAGGGACTCACCGAGATGGGCAGACAAAAGGGACTCTGTCCTCGAGAGGCGGTGGTTCCCTCTCCGTCTCCAGGAACTGCGTCGGATATGGGGGCTGGGGTGAATCAGGGGGCTCCCGGGCTCGGAGGGGTTAACCCGCGCGGGGCCGCACGTGACGTGGATGGTTCCAGCATTAAGTCAGAGGCGCGGCCCCCTCCCCTCTCCCCCGCCCCCCGCGGCGCGCGCCACTCCCGGGGGCTCCGCGCCCCCGAGCCCAGGTCCCTCCCCTTTGGCGGGCGCTCACAGGCCGCGCGGGCAGCGCGAGCCCCGAAGCCCCGGCGGCCTGTGCGCCCCGAGCCGGCATGGACCCCGAGCGCTGCGCGCCTTTCGGCGTGGGGCCCGCGTCGGGCCCCTACGAGGCCGCGGGGGACGAGCCTCCGGGCTCCCAGGGGACCCCCGCCACCGCGCCTCACCTGCACCCCGCGCCGCCCCGCGGCCCACGGCTGATCCGCTTTCCGGCCTGTGGGCCCCTGGAGCCCTACCTCCCAGAGCCGGCCAAGCCGCCCGCCAAGTACCTGCAGGACCTCGGACCCGGCCTGGCGCTCAACGGCGGCCACTTCTACGAGGGCCCCGCGGAAGGTAACGCAGGGCGCGGGGCGTAGCGCGCAGCCCCGACCCGCTCCCTTTCCCTCCTTGGGCCCGCCTGGGCCTCCCCGCTTCCCTCTCCTGCTCGCCTGTTTCTCAACTTTTTGACCCTTGCGCCCCTCGCCGTGGCTCCCTCAGAAGCCGGACCGGCGTTGGTCCAGGCCAGGCAAAAGCCAGCGCGGTGCGGGAGGCAGAGCCACGCGTGCCTCCAGCAGCGGGAATGGGAGGCAGGAGGTCGAGAGAGGCGGCCGGAGCCAGGAAGGAGAGATCATGCTTGGCCAGAGTTGGGCTGGAACTGCCACCGACCCAGAAGCCTGGACCGGGCCCAGGGCCCGGGCGCCACGCTGAGCCCTTGGCCCCGATGCCCGGAAAGAAGCGGGGCTTTTGTGTCTGGCGCCCGTTTGGGACCCTGAGGCTGGGTCCCGACCCAGAGTGGCCAAGCGGGGCTCCCCCGAGGGCTGCGGCCTGTCCTCCGCCGGCCTCTCCTCCCCAGGCCCAGCCCCCGCGGGAAGGGCGCTCGCTGCGCGCTAGGCGTCGGCTGAGTGGCCGCGGCTGGTCCGGCAGCGCCGGGCCATTCTCAATACGGACTAACTGTGTTCTTATTTCTCAGACTAACCTGGCCTCCCCGTCGTTATGCACGGTATGGCCGCCCTTCTTGCAGTCTTGACTTCCTCGCACTGGATCGTCACCGCTGGGCCGTCGGGAGCAGCCCGGGAGGGCCTAACCCCTGGGCGCCTCGGGCTCCTGGGCCAGTGCCCTGTGCGCTCAGGCCCGTTGGACCGCACCGTCTCCCGAGAACTCGCCCGAAGGCCGGGGCCTGGCAGGCGGGTCCGCAGCCCCACTGCCGCCCTCTGCACCGGCTGACCTGTGTCTCGGCGCCCGCGCCTGCCGCATCTGCGCTGCCACATCCCGCAGCTTAGGTCCAGAGCTGGATCCTGCGAGAGGGCCCCACCCCGCCTCCTCCCCGCTGGCGCCTTGCGGGCCTCTACAGAGTGGCCAGGCAGCTCTGGCCTTGGCCCAGCCCGGGCGGTGGGAATGTGTAGGGGAGGGCAGGGAGGTGTGTGGGGGTCAGCGGAGGAAATGAGCGAGTCCGCGGAGCTGCGTGTCTGTGCCCTTTGAAAGAGGCTTTCCTGATAAAAACCACAGTTAGGACTTAATGAGAAGCAGTTGGCCTGGCTCCTCTGATCCCAGCCAGACGGCGGCGGCCGCGCAGCGCCGTGAGCACCGCCGGGGACAGGTACCCGGCCTGGCTCGGCGCGCCGCGTCGGGCAGGACCCACCCGCGGGCTTGCGTCCCTGCTGCGCGCACCGGATCCCTCACGGACCGCGGGGGCGCCAGGACCGGCCCGGCGCCGAGCGAACTGCGGAGAGCGCTGGAGCAGAACGAGCGGCGGGGAGGAACCCAGCGACGGCGAGAGTGTCAACAACGAAATGCGTGGAAAGAAAAGCAAAGAGCGTAAACAACAACCAAAAAGAGCGAAAATGAATTTGGGCAAAACAACGCAGGAGAAAGGCGGGAACGAGAGGCAAACGGCAGTCGGCGAGCTGGGCAGAACGTAAAGGAATAAATGAAGAACGAACGGCGAGCGGAAGCGGGTAAATGAAGAAGAGAGGACGAAGGGAGTAGAAGCAGACAAAACGAAAGAAAAAAAGGACGTCCTAAAAGAGCAGAAAATAGCAAAATGAGAGCAAGTGGGAAAAGAAAATTAACGACTCAAGTTGAGCGGAGGACAGGCCAAACGAAAGGAGGCGCAGCGGGTGCGAGCGGAGCCCGGGTAGAGACCCCGGCTGCCGCTGGCCGCCCCGGTGCCCCGTCCGGAGCTCGACGGGTAGGAGCTGCGCCAGAGCGTCCTCGGCGCGGCGGAGCCCGGCTGCTGCGGAAGGACAGCCCCGGGGGCTCGGGCCGCGCAGTCTAAGTGGTGGGAAGTGGCGGGCAAAGGGCGAACCCTCCTTATTTCCCGGCTTTTAAAATAACGGGCTCCGAGCGTTCCGAGTTCAGACCGGTGAGCGCGCAGCTGCGCCCCATTTGCGGCGCGATCTTCGCCGGGGCCGGGAAGATGCGCGCTCGAGAGCCCGACGCATCGCGCTCCGCTCCCGCCCTTTGCGGAGAGCGCCCAGCCCTGCTCTGGGCCCCAGCCGCGTCCTGGCGATGCCAGCCACCCTCGCGCCCTCTGCGCGTGCCTGCTCTGAGAGCCGCAGAAACGCCTCGCCGGTCCTTCCTGCTCTGGCGCGGGCCGCGCCGTCTGTCCCCTAGCTTGGCTTCCTGACTTCGGAATGCTCCCGCCGCCGCTGACGCCCTGAGCCGGATAACCATAAGCGCCGCGCTCACCGACCGACCACGGGTCTCGAGGAGAGTTCCAAGTAATCGCCCCAGGTTGAGGTCTCTGGGCCAAGGCGGGGATCCTCTCGGGAGAGCACCAAGGCCCCCCTGGGGTCCTGCATACGACGTTTATGTCCACACCGGCTTTAGATCTTCAGCGAGAGCTTCGGGAGCCCAGGCCTCAGCGAGCTCTGCGGGTCGTTTGGGACACGCGCCGCGCGGAGCAAGGCTGCCACGAAAGCTGAGAGCCGGGTGGTTGGTCCTGCGGTCCCTATGGACGCCATCCGTGGGGGCAGTGGGGCTCCTGTAGGCGGCGAGCGGTTCTGCTCCCGGGCTGCAGTGGCTTCGAAGCCGCCGCTAGTAGGGGCTCTGACCGCCCCCGGAGTCGGGGAGTGCCGAGGGCAGGAGAGCCTAGTTAGCATCAGCGACAGCACTCCCGTGCCGCCTCAGAGGTCCTTGTCCTGGCTCCTGTCTTTCAGGCCCGACAGACTGCTGCTCTGGTTCTGCAGGTGTGCAGGCCCTGGACACCGGGTGGCTGAGCCCCAGGCTACCAATCTCCAACATGAGCAATCCCCCTTAACCACCCAGAGTCCCCGCCGGGTGCGAGTGACTCCTACACACAGCCTGTACACACCTTGGACGTGCCCCCCTCCTTACAGCACTTCCTTCCCCTTACAGGCTTAGATGCCAACTGCTGGTGTTGGTTCCTGCTCTGCCTTTCCCTGATCGCTGCCCCCCATTTATCCCACCTCCATCTCTTTTCTGGGTCTTGCTCCTCAGGAGGCTGCTTGGTATTCTATGAGTCATGCCCCTGTCCCCCAAAGAGGGAGAAGGCCACTCTCTCCCTGGAGTCCTCCAAGCAGATGGAGGGGGTTTCAGGGTAATGACGATGAGGAGCGGAGTTCTCTGGTCCCCTGACACGACTGTAGAATGGGTGGGCATGGGAGGCCAGCAGAGGCCAGCAGGCTTGGCCCTCTTTTGGGTAGCTATTCTGATAAGTCCTGTTGCATTTTTACCCCTTACCCTGGTAGCTGGGTGGCTTAAGGTCAAGAAGGCAAGTCCTAGAGCTCCAGATCTGGTCACTTCCTCTGGGCAGATCCTATTGAGACAGACAGTGAGGGTCCAAGGGGCAGATGAGCAAGCCCCAGAGCTGTGGGGAGTCCTCTGCAGTGATGTCAGTGCTCCCCTGACCCCCATCCCTGAGCTACTCTCACCCTTTTCTGCCTGGAGTCCAGCAGAGGCTCCCTCTGAACTCAATACACCAAGACCCCTCCCTCTCAGGCCTGCTATGTGTAGGGTATCCCCTTCCAGTCTCCCTGGTCCCCCTGACCATTTTCAATTATTTGGTTCAACTTCCACAAGTCCTCCTTCTTAAGGTCCTACCAAATGGAACTACCCCTAAAACAAAATACTTTGGCCAAGAATGGAAGTCAGGTACTGGAGCATTTACTCCCCAGGTTGCACCTGAGTTGAGAAGCTGACCTGGTGCCTGGGCTGTCGCTGTGCAAGCCCCGAGGGCAAGCCCTCCCTGCTCTCCCAGGCCTCCAGGGCACACTCACAACGTGGAGCTTGTTTCACAGCCTGGGTGGTCCTGGGAGGTCACTGACCGCCTTCCAGCTGAAGGAAACCTTACCCAACTTGTCCTCCACAATGCAGACAGGGACTCTTCAGACCCAGAACCCCAGAAGCCACTTTTCTGGTCCCATCCTCTTCTGACAGCTGTGATCCCATCACCGAGTTCTGGGCAAGAAACTGCCTCTTGGTGCCAGCTCGCTGGGCCTCCTGGGGGCCAGGCCCCTGCAGGGGATGGGCTGGGCCAGGGAAGGGGTTGTGTGAGTCAGTGGGGCGTCTTTGTGGTGTTGCTCCTGCCATCCCAGTGGACTGCTGAAGAGAGATTTCATGGCAATGCCACTGGAGGTCCTCACCAGAGCAAGAGGGCAGGGTCCATCAGGATGACCTATTTTTCCCCATGCCCCGGTCGGTGGGTCATGGCTGGGCTCCACTAAGCTTCCTGAGTGAGGCTTAGTACAGCAGAGTGGGGCTGCTTGGAACTGTTCCCAGTCTGCAATCACAGGCAATGGGGGAGCCATCAGAAACTCCTGAGGAGGGAGGGGCAGACAAGGATGAGAAGGATGTGTTAGGGGCTATGCTCTATTTGGATACTGGTCCCCCAACTCTCCTTCTGCAAGCATGGCCTATCTCCTGCCTCTCGAATGCTGCAGCTGAAGCCCTTGCCCAGACATCACAATTTTTCAAGGACTGAGACAATCCTTCTTGAAACTTTTTTGTCCCGTCTTGCCCTTCATAGCCCAGGGCTGGGGGATTTGACATTGGCCTGAGACTTGGGGTTCAGAGAATGAGGCACAGCCAGCCCAGCCAAAGGTGGGCTGAGCATCGCTGTCGGTTGCCTGCCTGGTCCTAGGAGCAGAGGCATGGGCACAAGGACATGGGAACCAAGGCCTGCAGAATCACAGACAAGGAGGCACTTCCTGGCAGGGGCGGGGACATGTCAACCACCCCATCCTCACCCCCTCCTCCCGCCTCTGCACTAGGCCCTACCACAGCGCCAATTCTGGCACCTCTACACCCTTTGGGACGCGCCACCACAGAGTACTTCCCTGAGATGAACCCCACTCCGGCCCCAGCACATCAGCCCAGACCACAGAGCACATGGTTCCCCAGGGCCCCCTCCCCTGCTGGAGGCTCAGCAGGCCTCCCAATACCAGGCTCTCATGGAGGGTGGCTGCTGGGAAGGAAGGGAGGAAAAAGGAAGGGGGAGGCGGGGACTGAAGCGTCAACGTTCTTCCCCCTCCCTCCATTCCACCCACAAAACCCCTTGGTTCGGTTTCCATCCTCCTTTTTGTGTTTTCCATTGCAGCTGAGGAGAAGGCCTCCAAAGCTGCCAGCTTCCCCCAGCTGCCCTTGGACTGCCGAGGGGGCCCCAGAGACGGGCCCTCTAACTTGCAAGGCTCCCCAGGCCCCTGCCTGGCCAGCCTGCGTGTTCCCCTGTCCCCGGGACTCCCAGACTCCATGGAGTTGGCCAAGAACAAGAGCAAGAAGCGCCGTAACCGCACCACCTTCAGCACATTCCAGCTGGAGGAGCTGGAGAAAGTCTTCCAGAAAACCCACTACCCTGATGTGTATGCCCGGGAGCAGCTGGCTCTGCGCACGGACCTAACCGAGGCCCGGGTACAGGTGAGGATACCTCGGGTGTGGGGCTCTTTGGCTGCCTTAACCATGAGCCAGGCCGTGGAAGGGCTGGGAGAGGTGGGTGCTAGCACCACACAGAGCTGCCTTTCCCAGGTGCCTGCCCCCAGCCTGCCCCCTGGGCTCTCCTCTATGCCCAGCTCTGCTGCAGCCACAGGCTTGCAGCCCAAGTTGAGGCTTATGCATGGGTGTGGGGGTGATGGTCTCTTGGAGTTAAAAGACCTGTGTGGGTGTCCTAGCTCTGCTACCTACTAGCTGGCCAGGTGATTTGGGGCATGCCATTGAATCTCAGTCTCCATTCCCCAATTCAGGAAAAGAGAATGATAGTACTACCTACTAAGGAGTATCTTTGAGGATCAAATGTGTGACAGCATTTTGGAAGCAGTGAAATGCTGAACACATATCAGAGCGGCTCCCAAGGTGGCTGCCCAGAATGGGAGGGTCCCCACTGGGGGTTCTCAGGCTCAGTGATGCTCAAAGCCATCCTGAGCCAGCAGCCTTCAGTCCTGCCATCCCCCAGGCCCTGGCTGGGAGAGCCTGGCCAGGAGCCCCTCCCCACCCAACAAACTCCCCAACAGAGGTCAGGCCCCTGGGCTTCCTGGATGGGGCTGAGACCAGCTTCACATAGGATAGAGCCCAGACTGTGGGGCTGGGCTCAGGGGATGAAGGGATGCTGGGAACAGGGGAAAGGGAGAAGGGGAGGGAAGTCCATGTCCAAGGCATGTCAGAAATAGGGAAGAGCATGAAGGTGGCAAACAGGGGTGGGGATGGGAAAGGAGGCTTCAGGAAGAGTCTGGCCCAAGAGAAAGATGGTCAGTGTTGCCTTGCTTTGAACCGGCTTGATAAACAGCAGGCTCCCTGATGCCAAGCAGGAGGCCCTGGGAGAGGAGTTGGGTTTGGGCTTCTTGGGAAAGGCAAGGAGATTCCGTCTCCCACCACACAGCTCACACTTATCACTGCATGGGCCTCTCCAGACTCTGTTTGAAGGCACGGGGGTAGGGGCCGGCTCTGGCAGAATATGGGGCCTGGCAGGCTAGTCTGTCAAGAGGCCAGCTGCTGTCTCGCAGAGAATGCCCTACAGCTGGATTCAAAACAGGACCAGAGGGGCTTGGGCTGTTCCCCCTTCACTGCTGGGTCCTCCTGCTTCCATGTTCCTCCCCAGTGGCACCCAAAACAGACTTTCAGGACTGTCCCCCAGGGCTCCCCAGGGCCTGGGGCCATCAGAGTGAGAGCCCAGCATTGAGGAGAACCCCAGATTACATAAGTCTAGAACATGGAGTCTCCAGACGCCTCTCGGGTGGGATCTGAATAGCTGCCCCTATGGAAACTGCTTTGGGGAAGTGGAGTACAGTTCCCCCACTCCTCTCCTAGGCCTTCTCTCCCCTGGAAGGGTGCAGGGGTAGCCACAAGGCCCCCACACCTAGTCCAGAAGCTTCTCCAGTGATTGAAGTCCTAGAATAGGGATTTTTCTGTGACAGGAGCATGACACCCACCCATAAGCCCCACCCCATGGAGAGGAATAATAAGACCACACACGGGACAATGCAGAGGGCAGGTCCAGAGCGCGGGTGGGGACTCTGAGGGAGAACGGTGGTGACAGGGAAGCATTCCCAGTAAAGTGATCAGCTTCACAGGCTCCCGGCTCCTTCATCTGCCTGCAGAGGAGGGAAAGTAGAGAAAGGAAGGCCAGGCAGCTGGGCAGGTGGGGTAGTCATTCCCTGACCATGACCCAGGCCTGCTCTGGGATCTCTGCAACTAGGGGTTAGGGGAGTAGGGGTATGCCCATCTTCTTGCCTGCCTGCATGGGTGGGAATGACCATGGAGGAGTGGGGGAGTGTGAGAGGCTGGGGTGGGGTTACTCACACACTATACACACAGCTTTTTCTGTTGTGGCTCCCAGCTAGATGCCTGGAAAGCAGGTGGATGGTTTGGGTGTTTTTTCTTTTTCCTTCTTCTCCCCAAATCCCCCCAGTACATGGTTGTATATTTTAGTTGTGGGTCCTTCTAGTTGTGGCATGTGGGACGCCACCTCAGCATGGCTTGATCAGCGGTGCTAGGTCCGTGCCCAGGACCCGAACCAGCGAAACCCTGGGCTGCCAAAGCAGAGCGCGTGAACCCAACCACTCGGCCATGGGGCTGGCCCCCAATTTGGCTTGGTTTTGATATTGCCAACATCTAGCCCATAGCCTGACACATTTATTAAATGATCGAAATACAAAATGCATACACCAATACACATACATCTAACAGTCGTAGGGCATATACAAAACGACAGATTATCACAGATAGGTACAAAGAACACAGATTTGCTACCCCTACCTGCCAAGAGCTCACACATGAATGGGAGAGACTGATTCCAAAACAGATCATGGTAATGGGACATGGCAAGTACAATGAGAGAGATGCCGGGTATCACAAAAGCCTAGTGGAGGGTGCCCAGCTCAGATAGACCTGTGGGGTGATAGGTAGCGCAGGCAGGGAGTACCTGAGCAAAGGCAGCAAGGAGCAGACAGCAGAGTGTTTCAAAGGCAAGCTGGGATAGGAGGCAGCTAGGAAGATAGAGTGGTGTTGCCTGGCAGGAGATGAGGCTGCGGAGAGGGGTGGGGTCAGCTCCAAGGTGCCTTGTTAAGGAGCTGGGCTCTGGGCTTGAGGTCTCCAGGGAGCCACAGAGGGTTTAAGCAGGACCAGGACCTGAACAGAAATATCTTTACGATTCCTCAGATGCCATGAGGTGGGTAGATTGGAAAAGGAGACAAAGCAGGGGGCAAGAAACCCAACACACGTGCTCTGGTACAGCTAGGAAGTGCCCAGGGCCTCTGGGGCAACGACACCCTTGCCAGGCTGGGGAACTAGAGTGACTCAGCCTGGGGGGTGAGGCCGGGGCGGGGCAGAGTGTGGCGCCATTAAACGGCTCTAGGCTTGGGCCTCTCTTGGCCCCATCCCAAGCTCCCCTGGCCCTGAGAAGGATGTGGATTTACAAACTCCTACAGCTCAAGATCCTCCAGCCTGGAGCCAGCTCCCCACCCCACAGGAGGATACAACCATCAGCTCTCTCCCAGCAGGCTCCTCTCCTCAGGGCTACCTTATCACCCCCTCAAACTCCCCCAACCTACCCCCAGGTCTGGTTCCAGAACCGCAGAGCCAAGTGGCGGAAACGTGAGCGTTATGGGAAGATCCAGGAGGGGCGGAACCCCTTCACTTCTGCCTATGACATCTCTATGCTGCCCCGAACAGACAGCCACCCCCAGGTGAGACCCCGCCCTGCCTCGAGTGTCAGGGCCTGGCTGTGTTCCATGGAGTAGCCAGCAAGAGTATGAGTTCTGGCCGTGGGAGGCCTGGAGCAGCTTTGGGGCTCTCTGTGACCATGGGCAAACTACTTCCTCTGTAAAATGGGCTCCTACCTGTCTCATGAAGGATGCATGCAGAGTTGCTGGCACAGGGGAATCACTGAAGAAAATCTCATTTTGAGAAGCAGCGGCAGGGGCCTCCTGAGATGCCACTTTAGGAGTAGGAGGGAACAGATTCTAGACCTGGGCCAAGTGGAGGTTTCTCAGAAAGTTTTGGAGCCCTAAGGGCAAAGAGAGCCCCTAGGGTAAAGGAGGCAGCCCCTGGGGCTACTCATTCATGAGCCTTCTTTTCTCTTTTCAGCTGCAGAACTGCTTGTGGCCCAGCCCAGGGTCTGGGAGCCCCGGAGGCCCCTGCCTCGCATCTCCAGAGGGCATCCCCTCCCCGTGCATGTCTCCATACTCCCACTCTCATGGGAATGTGGCCAGCTTCATGGGGGTGCCGGCCTCCCCTGGAGCCCACCCTGGCATCTACTCCATCCACGGCTTTTCTCCTCCCTTGGGGGGCCACAGCTTTGAACCCGCCTCTGATGGCGACTATAAGTCTCCAAGCCTCGTCTCGCTCAGGGTGAAGCCCAAGGAGCCGCCCAGCCTGCTGAACTGGACCACGTGACTGGCTGCGTGGACAGGCAGACTGAGCTGCCCACCCCCTCTTCCATCCCCAACTGCTCCCCCTACCCGAGTCGGGACACCAGAGAGAACACCCTGCCTCCAAGCCGCAGATGGCTGGAGGCCCGGGCAGAGTGGCTGGGGCCCTCAGGCTCCCACAAGGAACAAGCTACAGAGTCTTTTCTTTGTGGGGATAAGGTGGGGCTGCCCAGGAGAAAGGGGGCTTCAAAGCAGTTAGGCCTCTACCTACCCAACTCTCAGCCCTCACCCAGACTCTGGGCTGGAAGGAGGAAGACGCTGTCCTGCTTCCGTCAGACTTCGTCCAAGTTTAAGTGCCATTCCTCCAGCTGAAACAGCTTAATTGGCTCCTCATTCAGGGAACCCAGGAAAATGGGTCGAGGACGACACAGGTCGAACTAGGAGGAGTTCCTTGTGACTTTGGGGAAACCAGTCTTTATGACCACCGAGGGCCGGCTTCACTGCCCCCTCCCGTCACCAGGGGGCGCGCACCCAGTGTCTGGCAGTGACAAGGGCCTGGAAGCCCCAGGTCAGTGTAAAAGGTGCCCAACTCCCCAGCTCCAGCCATGCCTTACTCCTGCCCTATGACCCCTCCCCCAACATGCTATGGAGTCCTCTTCCCCCTCCTAGGGGGCAGAAATTCCACCAGAAACCACCAAATATTTGGATTCTCTTCCACGGAATCAAGCCAGAGCTATGCCACAGAAACCGTAAGCTCCCTTAATTTACTCATGGGATCACTGGATGTTGGTAAGAATAAAACAGATTTCCAGACTCTGAGCCCCTGAGAGCTCGGCCCCTACTTTTGTAAAGACCCCTTTGTGAAAAATGTGCTGCCCAGCATAATAATAAAGGTGGCAGTAGTTTTTTATATCAGGTGACTGTGTATCCTCAGGGTTTGGCACTTGGTTGCTCTAGGGCTGGTCTGTGCCTGGGGTCCAGGCTGAGCCAGGCTCTCCTGAGGGCCTGGCAGGGATCCTGGAGGCTAGGGGAAGGTGGGCCTGCAGCAGAGCCCCCAAGGCTGATTGCACACCATGCCTCGCCCTGCCACCTGCCCAGGGTCTCTGTGGCTTCGGCAGTGCAGGGAGGCAGGGCACAAAGCCCAGCTCTAGAGTTAGGTTCAAGTGAAAGGGAAAACTGGGGTGGGAAGGGAAGTGAGAAAGCTGAGGTAAGCTCGTGGCTGAACTGACAACTGAGGGGAGGTGGAATGGAAGACCAGGGAGGCCACTGAGGGCTCTGAGCTCCCCAAGGGTGGGGACCCCAGGGCAGTGGGGGTGGGGCAGCTCCCTTCCCCCAGACATCCCAGGAGCATGTCTAAGCTGTGAGGCAGAGACAAAAGCCAGGACTCTTTCTTGTGGTTTCAGAGTATTACCCATTCTATCCTTCAACCGTACTTTCTGCCTTATCTCCGCAGCCTGGAAGGCAGGAAAAAAGCAGGCCTGGCCCTCCCTCCCTCCCAGTAAACACAACCACATTGCTCAGAGGAGCACAGCCTCAGCTAGCAGCCCAGCCACCCCCACCCTGCACCTCCTCTTCCAGGCACAGAGAAGCCCAAGCACTCAAAGACACCAGAGCCATGCTTATTCTCCAGGAGGGTGCAAACCCCCAACAGATCAGATTTTCCAGCCAAGACAGTCACTGGGACAAGGCTCAAGCATCCCCTAGAGTGTCTTCCCTCTTCTCTTTCCTTCATTGGAGGGTGTGGCTTCTGGCGATTTCTCTCCCCTATACTGACGCTGGCCCTGAGGTGCTGGCCTGAGCCCTGTGTTCAGCAGGAAGGGAAGATCTGGGTAGTAGGGAGAGGCAGCCCCAGCTCCCTCCAGTGAACAGGACCAACCTCACCTAACTGGTCAATAATGAATTGAGGCTCAAACCCACATTTCTAACTCCAGGGATAAGACCACTGCACTGGAAGTTTCTTCACCCAGGGAGTAGCCAGTAAAGTTTTTCACTTTCTGTCCCCCAAAAGTCAGAGAGATGCAGAGAGAGATCAGTTTGTTCTACAGATATTTACTGAGTGCCCACTCTGTGCCAGGCATTGTGCTGGTGCCAGAGAAGAGCGATGGTCAAGAAAAACATGACTTCCTCTCTCTCACAACTTTTAGAAAGGCAGAAATGGAGAGAGGGAAGAGGAAGGGATCTGTGAAAGTCCAAGCAAAGGAAGCAGAAGTGGGAAGAGACAGATGAGAGAGGAAAATAAAGTCGAGCCAGAGATCAATGCAACAGGAGTGGAAGGGGCGGGCAGAGGCCAGGAGCCAGCCCTGTGCAGGAGGGAGGCCCTGAGGGGGAGGGCACAGGGAGGCCAGAGACCAGCTACTGGCTCCCATCCAGGGGCATCTGCCCACAGCTCATATTTTTCTGTCCAGTGACAGCTAAATGAAGAGAAAGCTAACTTTACAACCGCCCACTTCACACATAATGAATATGAATGGGCATCCCGGAGCCTGTTCCCTGGGATTATCTGTGAGCTGACAGGTTCTCCCACTGACTGGGCCATCCAGCCAGCCTGTCCCCTGGCTGGGACGTGGGCAGCCCTTCCACCTGCTTCCCATTAGCTGTCCTTCCTCCCCTCCTCCTCCACACCCTAGGCATGTCACCCCTAAGACACAGCCCCCAGGTCTCCAGATGCCCCTGCCCCCAGCCTCACTCCAGAGCAGCCCTCAGCCTAGACCTCATGTTTCCCCAAGGCCAGGCTGGGGCTCTGGTCACCCCTTCTGGAAGAGGAAAAGGGAAGCGGCCCCACCTGGAATCCCACCTTTAAGAGTTGGAAGGTTCAATCTCCCTTTGCTAAGGCTCTTCACCCCAGTGAGGCCCACCCAGAGAAGCCCTAAATCCTGGTCCTAGCAGGGGCAGACACCAGGCCCAGAGTGACGGGCCCTGGCCAGTGGGTTCCCCACCTCCCCCAACCATTTACACATCAATCTGAATCACAACCCAGAAGTGCAGACTCTCATCACCAGGAACTGGGCATTTCCTACATCCAGCAAAGGGAGTACGTACCTTACCCCGTCCCAGCCTCATCCTAGCCATTCTCACCGGGGGAGTCAAGCACAAAGTGTCCTCTCTTGGAGCCCTTGTTCCTGATGCTGGAGTCGCCTCCCTTTCCCACTTGACAACTACAGCCCAGCTCCCGCCCAGTCTCTTCTCCTGTAGGAGTGCACAGGCTGGGACCAATGGGACATGTGTGGCCCAGCAGATGTCTGTCCTGGTACCTACCACATTTTGCTCTTACTTGCTTTTATGGCCATCTGTCCATCAATTTTGAGCTCGTCAAGGAGAGTGAGAAAGTGTGGTGTCCTATTCATCTGGACACCTGGACATGGGGCCAGACCTAGGACAGGCCTTTGCGCTATGAGGGCAGGGTTATGCTAGGTGAGTGGCTGACTCTTTTGAGAGGCTTCTGTATTCAGAGCAGTGAGCTAAGGATGAGGGATATAAGAAGGCCTAAGACATGGTTCTGGTCCTTGAAGGGGGTCTCTGTTTTCCAGGGGACACAGGAAATGGATGCAAATTCACAGGTTAGAGTTGGAAGGGCCATTAGCAACAGCAAGAATAGCTGCCCTTTATTTATCAGCTGTGTTGTTTCTTGTCAGCCAGGCATGTAGGTCCATTATCCATTATCTTATTCAGCACTCACCACCACCTTGCTATTATTAAACCAATTTTTACAGATGAGTCAACTGAGGCTTAGAGCTTGCTCAAGTGTCAGAGCCCAGATTGAGAGTCAAGGCTGTCTCACTCCCAAAGTGTGCAACTCCCTTGTTTTATAGCCGGCAGCCTCCGGCTGACTGCCAAGTACAAACGAATGGCACAGCTACCACTTCTCTAAGCAGTCAGTTCATTAGAGGACAGACAGGAAGCCAGCCTCCCAGGAGAGAAGCCTCACAGGTATGGCAGGGGCAGCCACACACGAGTCCTCTGGGACTCCCGAGAAAGACATTCAGGCTCAGGCTGAAAAGGAAGAAAAGATAGCAGCAACAGCCCACAAGTTATCTTGAGGAGGGCACATTTGGGGCACAGCAGAGACTAGGCCAAGGCCAAGCTTTGGTGACCTAAAGCAACTGACATTTGCCAAGAATCTTCTTGCCAGGGACCACGCTTGAGCAAATACTAAGTACTGACTAAAGTGAATAAATGAGCAAATGAATGCACTGTGATAAGTGCTGGGGAATAAGAATGATTAATAGAGAAGGGGGAGGGGGACGCACACACTTTGCAAACAGAGACCTGGGTTTCCATCTGGACTCTGGCTCTCGTTATTTTGTGACCTTGGGCAAGTTCTTTACCCTTCTGTGCCAGTTTCTCATCTGCACTGTATGTAATGGTACAACTTTTTAGGATTATTATTAGCAATAAGATATTATACATAAAGTGCTAGGAGCAGTGGCTGGCACACGGTAAGCACACATTTCCTGGCTATTGTGTAGAAAATGAGCTTTCGAGAAGCATGGATATTGGGCCTGGTATCTATTTGGCACCCAGAAAGTGGTAACTCTCTTGATTAACAAGGGACAGTTCTCATCCTCAAGGCAATACAGCCATGGGGTATCCGTCCCTCAGTGGATTGAAAGAGCACTGGACCCTGAGCCTGGTTAGCAAATTTTATGTAACTTAACCATTTACAAAGGGCCTTTATGTACCCTGCCCATCCCATGACCCAGATGAAATATAAAGCCACAGAGACTGGGTGGCCACTCGTTCCACAAGATATTTCTGTACAAAGATGCGAGTTCAAATGGCCAATATGCCAGGAGCACACTTCTGGCCAGATGCAGGGCTTCACCTGCCCAAGTTTTATGGCCCTTGCAGCTTTGATATTCTGTGTTCTTTTTTGCACAGATTTATATATAGATATTTACAGACCTCTGCAAACCAAGAGGAAAAATGCCACCTCTGGTTAAGGGAAGCTTCAGAGGAGAGAGTGGGGAAATCAAAAAGGGGAAGGAGGACAGAGCTCCAGCCCGGCAGGTTCAGTGAGCCAGGATGCCTGGGAGAACAAGAACGTGAATCTCAAGATACATACTTCCTACTGGTGCTGGCAAGAGACAGCAGAAACTCTATCATGCAATCACAGGGACTTCCCATCTAATAGGCTGTGTGACTTACATAAGGAGTACACTGCTGGCTCCCACCTCGCTGCTTCTAATCATGTTAGCACATCAGGGCTCGTCCTGGAAGCCCAGCTTGAGGCCTGGACTGAGGCTCAGCAGAAGCCAAGCCAGGCAGGCAATGAATGGAAGAACCAACAAAGGAGAGATTTCCTCTAGAATATGCTTCCTTTATAAGTCAAGACCCCTTGGAGACTTAAGACCCCATACACATGGCCTACAGGTAAGATAAGGGAACTTCAAGCAGTTCTGAAACGGGAACCTCCTTTTACCAGCATCAGAATGGTAAGATGCTCAGACGCAGAGCCTCAAGATCAAGCTGGCTGGAGGCAGATGTGTATAG